TTTAAGAGCAGGCCTGCTTCTTTTTGCATGGAAGACAGGGAATGCTTTCCTGGTAATCCAGATAAGGCAGCACTGTGTTTTAGTTCTAGTCTTGCTAGTTCTGGTATCAGTGGGATTTTATCTGGAGGTACAAATATCAGCAGAGCTACCATGGTGGTTTTCTGCAGCTGGGTATTTAAATAGGGTCCAAACTGTGAAGTTGGTGTTTAAGAGCCAGTGGGTGGCTGAGCTGAAGCCAGCTCGTTTGAAGCTCGGGGAGCTGTGTGTGAACTGCAGTCACACCTTGGGGTTGCAGTGCAGATACAATCACGGAGACCTCAGAATAAACTCCTTTCCACCTAATCTTTTCACATGGCTCTGAACAGACAGGTGTGTGCACCACTCCTCTGCCTCCATAATGCGTTATTTGAAGCAGGTTGAATATGGCTGCAGGCATGAGGAAGAGCCTGGTGGTAGGAAGGTGGCTTGTGCCTTCAGCAGCTAGGAGGTCAGGGGTTGGCTACCCCTGCTAAGTTACCTCCACCTGAGGAAGCTGGTCCTGGAAGAAACAGGGAGCATAGCCTGGGAAGGAAATTCCTTGATAAGGAACCAAAGTAGGTAGCAGCAGGTAATAGAGGGAAAAGAGATCATAGAATAATTAGGGTTGGAAAGGACCTTAAGATCATCTAGTTCCAACCCCCTGCAGAGTTTGCTCTGGCTCTTTGGGAGCAAAGAGTGTGAGTCTGGGTTGTCCTCCATCTCCTTTGAGGATTCCCCAAAGAGAGGTGCAAATCCAGGGCTGCAGTGGGGCAGTGGAGAGGGTGCTGGGGGCAGACATGATTGCAGTCAGTGCCCAGCCTACAGCATGTAGAAAGTTGTGTGCTGTATTTTTTTTTCCATTATTCCCATATTCTTTTTCCCATTAAAATATACCATTAAAAATGCATGTGCTCTTTAAGTAGTTCTGTTGGGCAGTGGTATTGCAGCATTTAATGAATGTGCTGGCATTAGTGATGCAAGGCTGGAAACCTGTGGCTGTGATTGTGTAGCTTTGCACCCTGTGCACAGGCTAACCCTATATTTGAAATCAAATCATGATGTTTTTCTGAGCGGAAAATGGGGCTCTCCCAGAGACGCTCTAATGTCTTTTTGCTTTGAAATAGTGATTTCATTGTGGCTTAGCTTCTGAACACTGTTTCTTACCATGGCGACTCTTTACTCATATATACATATAGATGAAAAGCCCATTTCATTTAAATATGAAAGATAACCAAGGCATTTTGCACACTAAATCTGCTGTGTAGTTCTGTAAATGATAGTTAACACAAGAAACACCTGTACTAAGATGACCTTCTGTTGAGAGCATCTTTCTACCCCATATCAGATGACCTTTCAGTCCTGTAACTGTTGTTTTGTTATAGCTCTGGTCAGGAACACAGAGTCCACCTAGGCAAGCACCTACTTTCCTGTTTGAAGCCTGAACCACACACTTCCAGGAAAATTCCCCAAATCCCAAATTTTCCCTAAATCAGAGTTAATTTAGGCTGTTAAATGTGGACCTGCATTCTAAAAGCCTCAGAATCAGGTCTTTTATATTCACTGTTTGTGAAATGACAGTTAAAAATGGCAACAGTGCTCTGGATCTTGCACCAAATCCTAGAAACCCTCTGACACTGTGAGTGGATGAGGTCAACTACGCTCCTCATCCCCATTTATTTGACATTCTCTCCCTATCTAACACTCCACACCCAAAGACCTTTTGTCCTCCAAATTGCTCTTAAAAGTACTCTTTGTGCCCAGTGCCCTCAAAAATCCCATAACTGCCTTGGTGGCTTTGTCAGGTCCTTAGACACTAGCTTGGCTGGCCTAGTAAAGTAACCTAGATAGGGCTGCAGTAAGTAGTCATTCTTCTGTCTGGGTTGACTGAAGTAACCAGTCATTACTCTGTCTGAGTTTCCCAGTAAGCCCTGTCTCTGTGCCCATCTTGATCAGCACTCCTGGCTAGGTGCTGCCTGTGTTTCATCTCAAACTCTCTATTAGCATTGTCTGGTTCAGCTGGGAAGATACCTTGGAAGGTTGGCACCATGTTTCTTGTGTATTTATTCAGTCCTGAAAATGCCAAATGTACCTAAGAAATAATAGGTGATAGCACTAAGGAGTGCCATGTAGTCATGAACACATCCAAATGGCTACCAGGCCTGCTGAGAGGCTGTCTTGGGAGCAGTGGTGCCTATTAGTTGCTCATAGCTATTTTGAGATCCTCCTGGAACACAGGTATGAGCTTTAATCCAAGGAAGACCTTGTCAGCCACATGTGGTGGCTTTTCTTTCTTGGGTTGCATCAGTTTTGTGAGATACCTGGGAGCACATCTGTACAAGCAGCATGATCATCATCTGGAGCCTGGCTCCAGCTCTTTCTGCCTTCCCATCATCTACAAGCAGAAGGGAAAGTCAAAATCTCTATCATTTCCCTGTATTCTCTCCCCTAGTCTATCATTGCTTAATTGTATCCTTAAATCTTATTGAAGTTTGGGATGAGTCATTGCTATGGTGAGGTGGAAACAAAGTTGAGCAAATATAAGAGGGCAGGAGTGTGCTCCCCTGTGAGCATGCTGAACAGGAAAACTGCCACAGGAGAGAGAAACTCCTATCACTTCAGAGATGTGTTGCCTCAGCTGCTTGCTGCTGCCTCTCATTTAATGCTCTAAATCCTGTATCAAACCACCTGTAGACCAAAGAGAATGTAAACTAGACTTGGAGTAGGAAAGCTGTGCCAATTAGACATGCAGATCTCACTTAATCACCTGAGACCTGCTTCCAGGCTCACACAGGACTTGTAATTGTGGTTCTGTATTGTCCTGTTGCATTGACTATCCACAGAACCCACTTCCCCCTCCATCACCAGAATAAAGTTGGAGGCTTAACCCAAGGTGGCTGCACTTCAGTGTCCTAAATGTTATTGCATTTGTGGCTACAGTAGTTCAGGTTTGTACAACACATTATGATCCCTGGTGGAAAAAGCACTATAGAACTGTAAAGCCGTGGTCACTGGATGGATGATTTCTTTGTAATGAGCTGTAAGACCTCCTCTGCTTTACTGTGTAGCACTATTATAATTCCTTTGCTTGCTGTTCTGGTTTCTGATGGAAATCCCCCCCAAAGTCTTCTTTCTGAGGCTATGTTTTAGATCCCATCCCAGGCTCTTGCTCTTCATAACTTTGGTGATTTACTGTGCCTCTGACATGCTGGCATGGCTGGGAATATGCTGCTGTAGGCAGGGCAGGCACCTTTCCGGGTGGTGGAGGGAGCTCTAGGTGTGTATGTGTATTCCATCATGGGATGAGGAGCACAGAATCCTGGTGTAGTTGGGACTGGAAGAGACCTGTGGAGATAGTCTGATCCAACCGTGCTGTCTCCCTCCTCTGACAGCTTTAATAAGGCAGGGCTACAGCTCTTAATCTCCCTTTTCCCATTAGCAAATCAGTCCCTTCGGTATCCTGGGGTAGGCGGTTGGTTGTGCCATTTTGCTTCTTGCATAGGTGAGGTTCTGCTCTTGGCTTGCTCATGCCTCTTGAGCACCTGGTGGATCAGAAGGTCTGAATGCTGGTTATTGCTCACTTCAGCAGAGGTTTCTACCGTGAAACCAACATCAAGGTAGTCTCTGCACCAACTTCAGAGCACAGTTTTCCATCAGCTGCCATCCTCTCTGGAGCATGGTACAGCTGCTGTGCTCCTGGATTTCATTTTGTGCCCTTTGCTTATTTTCACTGGGCACCTCAGTCTTCTTTACCCTCTTCCTGTCAGGTATTGACACACATTGATAAGATTCACACCCTTCCCCACCCAGAGCCCTCTGGGGGTTGTTGTAGGAGGTTGAACTAATGTTACTGGGCAGGCACTGGTGATCTAAAGCAGACCTAAATGCTGCCTCATGTAAATGGTGATGTACAAGCAGTACAGAACAGGACAAATGAGCTTTCTTGCTTTTCCTTCCTTCTCTGTATCTGTTTTATCTTTAGCACCTTTAATTTATGTCTGTTTTCTCGGCATTTTCCCAGGTGTCTTCTGGGAATAGTTATCTCGAGGTCTTGTATCTCTTTGAGTTTGTCATTTAGTGTGATCCTAGCAGACCCAAAAGCTAAGATATTTATGGTGCATGAGTTCAGGTTGCTGCTCAGTTGATCCCTGTGGCCTGCAGTGATGAGAAGAATCACTTTGGAAAAAGCCTCAGGTCAGGCTTTGAACTGGAGGTGAACTTTTATAAATGCTCAGTAGAGCTGGAGAATGGGGGTTCTGGTGTTTTGAGGAATACAGTGGCCTAAATGACATTATACGGATGAATGCATTTGATACCCCAGTGCTAAATCTAGCTGAACATGTAAATACTACCAAACCTGCTCATTTTGCTTATGCCAATTGATATATTAGGAGTTCAGGGAAGAGGTAAGGTTGGTTTGGGTTCTGCTGGTAGTTACTTTAAAAGTGGCACTTGGTCACTCACCTACCTTTACTAAGCTATTTAAATGTATTTTCTACAATCAGTATTTTCTACAATTTGCTTTGGAAATGAGAACCCTACCTAAATGTGAAACTTCTATCATCACTCCTATCTCTGTGTCATATCTCCTCCCAACAGAGATCTGTTAAAACTTGTCTTGGATTCAATTTGTCTTGTGGAACCATCTGAAGCACAGAATCAGTTTCTCTGTTTATCTATAAAAGAAGAGAAGGAATCTGGATTCTGCAGAAAACAAACCAAAAGAGAACTTAAGTAGAAAGGGAAGATCAGTTGCTTATGCACCACATTTTAATTCCCAAAGCCTTTGCATGATGCTGTATCTACTTTTATTGTAGTAGCCCACAATTATTGAGTGTACGTGGATAGAAAAGAAGCCAATGTGCGAACTTTAGACATTATGTGTCCAAACTACTGGACTTTGAAGCTTTGCTTGTGTTTCACAGAAGTTGTATGCTTTTCAAAGGCTGAAGGTGCTGAGGTTCTGTTTTCTGTTTTCCTTGTAGGTGTGTTACTAGACATCCAGCAGCACTTTGGAGTGAAAGACAGTGGGGCTGGCTTGTTACAAACAGGTAAGAGGGTTTTTTTTTCCTGGTGGTGTTTGTAACTTTCCTCTTCTCATAAGGGTGCTCTCGGATTTCTTCAGCTATGGCCCTTGGGCACATTGGCTGTGAAATATGCTCTTAGGAATATGCACGAACATGAGGGGTTTTGCTGGTGGGCAGGAAATCAGGGCTTAGAATGGCCCAAAGGCAAGCCAACCTATTTATGACAACTACATTCAAATAGGAGTCACTGCATCCTCTATGTCAGAAAACTCATGATAAACCAACAGCAGGATCCTGTTCTCACTTCTAACTTTCTGTAGTTGATAAGAAGTGTGATGTATGGTGCCCTTCATGTGCTCTAGAGAGAATCTGCTGAATGTACAGTAATTGGGAGTACAATGCGGCATGGAAATGTAAAACTCATCAGGACAAGTACATGAGGATGAGAACTGCAGGGCAGGCAGTCATGCAGGCAATCACTGCATTCATGAAGCTCATGGATTAACAATATCTCTTTGATTTTGGTGCTGTTAGCTTCAGACATTTCTCTCCTTGTGTTTAACATAGATTATTGCAATTGTGATGTCCTTTTAATGTAGGAGCCATTTGAATGTTGCAGACGTCTGCAGGCAGAGCTGTACAACCCGAGGACAAAACCCAGCTTTCTAGCCTCTACACCTGAGGTGATTTAGAGAAGTCCCTTTGCCAACAGACAGGATTGGATGATATTGAGGAGCAGGCTCATATAGTTGTGACAGCACAGTTGGTGTTAATGGAGAGTTGAAAGGACTAGGCAGATGGAGTTTTTTAGGGTAGAGAAGCCTGGTTTGGAAACTTCCTACAGATTTGTAAGTTGGAGTCATACATTTGTGGTGCTGTGGTTGTCTTGTCACTGTCGCCTGTCTGAGGGAACCACACTGGATCAATTGTATCTCTGAAAAAACTTAGAATTCAACTAGGATTAGAAATAGTGTGCCAGAAAGACATTTTTTCCATGTTTTTTTCCTTATGCTATCACAGTGGATACCAAATGCCTGTCAGGAGCTTGTCTGTGGAACTGTAGCCAACAATAAAGTGTATATAATCATTCATTCTTTATGATCACATCAGAGGGGAGAATGTTCTGAATGTTCACTTGACCTTTGATTTCAAACTATGTGAACCACTGCAGTGTTTCCTCCTTTTTTTTTGCTGCAACCTGTGTCACAGCAGGGTCCTCATGTGTCACTACAGCTTCTTGGTAATGCTGCAATACAGTTAATAACAGTTTGTATTAGAGCTTTAAAAATGCTCTCCTTGGGGGATGGCAGAGTTCAGCTAAGCTGATGTCTGCTGCATGTGTCCAGAACAGAAAGCTTGAGCTTTACAAGTGTTACTGAGTATAAAGAGCACCAATCAGTTAGGCCCAAAGTGGCCATGGTTGTCTGTCAGCCTCTTTTCTACAGCAATTAGTTGTATTTATTTATTGTACTCAGATGAACAAGTCCTCAATGTATCATTAGACACAGAGTGCCTTCAAGAAAATATTCTGGTGGAAAATGACACTTGCCAAAGCATATATTTAATCTTCATTCCCCTCAGTGGATTAAAATCCTTTTGCAGATGATTTACTGACAGCAAGTAAGAGCTGAGCTCCAACAGGGCATTTCATTTGTTAATTGCAAGAAGTGTGATTTATTTCTTTAGCAAACATACAGGGCATCTGCAAACAGCATCACTGTGAGGTACTGCAGGATTGCTGCTGAGTCTGCTGAGGGTTTAGGAACTGGTAATGGTTGCCTTAAGAAAAGCAACACTTTCTCCTGGGTGGTTTTCTTTTTTGCTTATCTGGAAACTGAGGGCTGAATTTTGTTCCTACAATATGGATAATGGTGTATTAATCCCAGTTGCATCAGAGGAAAAGAGTGCGCGCAAAATAAAGCATCGTTTCCTATAAGTAAGGGTAGGGGTACATAACTGGAAACTTATTAAATGTATTTCTTCAGCTTATCAAGTTTCTGTGTTGGCAGCTGGCCCATGACACGTGTACCCTGAACCCTGGTGAAATAAAAGACACTGACCTGAACCACCATATAAATGCTACTTTTAATCTTTTGTCTGTTCTGTAAGCCTGACCTCTCTGGATGTGCAAAGCTGGGGTAATGGATGCGGTGTAGAAGCGTTTGACCAAGATTGCAGAACAAGCCTGCAGTAGAGCTGGGACCAGGACTGATGTCTCCCAGACCTCTACCTTAACCTTGAACAGTTCCTTTGTGAGCAGAGACAGAAATATCATTCTCTTCCCAAGTCATGGTCCTCCAAACTGACTGAATGATGCGAGACGAAAGGCTGCTCATCCTGACTATGTCCTTTGAATAAAGAGTGGATTAGTCCTCAGGTTGTTAATCCTGCATTTAAATGAGTCCTAAATGAATTTACAATGTTAATGAGGAGGAGTGAAATGTAGTATTCACAGGCAGTTCTTATCACTTATTCAACAGGCTTTAAAAAATAAGACAAATCAAGGCTGCACACAATTTTAGGGAAGAGATGGTGCTGCAAACTCAAACAGGAAGGGGAAAAGCAACCCACCAAAGGCAGTGGATGATCCTGCATTCAGAGCATAACCCATTCTTTGCAGGCACAGCTGTCTCACTTCAAACATTCAAAAGCCAATTCATGCACTCTCAGCTTCTGCTGCTCTCTGAAAGCAAAGGTGACTGCTTTCTTAGAAACTGCAAAGACAGGATTTGAATTTTTGTCATCTTTTCTATCAATCCCAAGATACAAGCTGCTCTTCGCCCAGGAGGTATAATGAAAACTGGTTAGAGGGGCACTGTGACCTCCCTGTATGGAAAAATCACAGGGACACTCCAGCCTCATCCATAATGGAAAGGAACAGAATGGGGCAGTCTCTGCAGCAAGGATCCTGTGACAGCAAAGGATACGCTGACAGGTCACAACTGCTGCTTGCTCAGTACTATTGTAGGGTAACAGACATATAACTATGTTAATTCCAGAACCTTGGTTCTCTCTGGATGATGCTATAATTCTGTGCTGATCTTGCTTTTTAAAGCACTACATGTGCAGTTAGAACAGTATTAGTTAAGCCCACTGAGCTGTCCTGCAGGTCTGCACCCGAGCTTGTGCCTTTCCCAGCTGGAGAAAGGATAACCCTGGCTGATCTCCAAAGGTGATAGAGCATCTCTTTGCCTGCTCGAGCTGTACAGCTGTAGTCAGTCAATACATTTATAAGCCAAGCCATACAAAAAGTGTTTCCCATGTGTGGAGTTAGGTAGGAGCAGCAGTTTGACTTACCGAAACATCAGGCCTCTAGAACAACAGTGACTGAGGAGATAAAGAGCTGGATTTGTAGAACTGCTTCAAAATAAAGTTATCCTTCCAGATATACTCAGACTGAAGGAGTAGTGACCAGGGCTGTGTTATGGTTTTCACTAGATTTCCTGTTCTCCTTCTTTCTTCGATTTTTGTGCTTTATTGCCCTGCCTGCTTTCCTTGCCCTTGGATTTATTTTGCTTTTGTGTCTCTTGTCAGTGTCTATCTAGCACACCAGAGCTCTGATAGTAATAGTGCCTGGCTTTCAATGCAGTTTGTCTTCTGAAGATCTCAGGATGTTTTATATAGGGAGGCATAATGAGGCTTGCCCTTTTCTACAGATGGGGAAACCAAGAGAACCAGATGGGAGAAATGACCTGCCCAAAGTCACACAGCAGGTCCGAGGCAGAGCCAGCACAAGAACTGTGGTCCAGCTCCTGAACACGCAGCATTCAACTAGGTTAATGCTTAGACCCAGAGATTTGGTCCTTGCTAATGGGTACCTTCATCTTCCAGCCTGGACAGCTCAAGCTCAGGGGAAAGCACATAAACCAATGGGGGCTTCTGCAAGTGGAAACCGTGTGAGGCATCAAATGAAGGGTATGGCAGGAATTCCACTGAAATGCAGAGGGGAAAAGTATCTGTCTTCAGAAGGTATAGGGATGTCATTAGAGGAAACCCTGGTAACCAGATTTATACCATAAGGGCTGGAAGCAAGGAAATGTAAGGATCCGGAAGGACTTATTAAAGGTGAATAATCATAGATAACTGGGGCTCTGAAAGAACTTGCAATCTTCTCACATGGAGAGAGATGGGCATTCTCCCAAATGCCTTTCAGTCCCTGCTTGCCAGGAAGCCTAGCAGTGCCAGGTACTTTCTGAAGTCTAGTTCTGGGCTCCTTTTTCCTGGAAGGGTCAATTCCAATTAAAACTTCTGCTCATATGAAAAGCAAAACCTTCACTTGAGTTCCTCTACCTCTTGAGCTGACCTAATGTAACCTTGTGCTACACTGCAACCTCGCAGAAGTGTTAGCATCTCCGGTGTGCTCTAAGCATATGTGGTGAGTAGGGAACTTGAAACAGTGGAGTGCAATGATGGGATAAATCACACTTGCTAAATTGAAGGGATTCTTTCAACTCGCTTTGTTTCCCATCATCTTGTCATTGGCTCATAATGACAGCCTGTGCTCTAACATTCCGTATTTATTCTGCACAGAAATCACCTGCTCTGGATGCCAACCTTGAATATAGGTATGCTATAAGAGTTGCAGGTGCTGCATGTTTCTTTGCTGCCATGTGCTTCTACCTGAATAGATCCTGTTTTGCCCCTCACCTGTGTTATGCGTAACTGAATCAGATCTTCATCTTTCACTTCCTACTCCACCTGCTAGAACAGAGGAACTCATATTCTGGACACTTTCTTGTTTAAAATTCATGGTTTTCCTTTTGAGTGAATGACTTCTTACACAAGAACACCTCCCCAGACCCTGGTATCTCAGGTGCCCAACCCAGTAGGCAAGATAGAACACTCTAGTTGCTGTTCTTGATTTATTGACTGCAAATGGTTTGGACCACCATGTCCTACCTAGAGCAGGTCATACCACTGTCATCTTCCCTTCTGCAAACCATGCTAAGCATTCTTAAATCCAGGTTACTTCTCTGGCAATCTGGGACATGCCAGGACAAGGTGGGTCTCTTTGCCAGAAGGAG